CTTGACCTTTGAGCACCATAATCCTACTAGTTTATTGTTAAGTCTAAGTGGACTTCTGTGCCAAATTAACAGAAATTCTCTCAAGGCCTTATTGAGATTTTGCATTCATAAGAATAGGACAGACATAAGGTCACGGCAACCTTGACCTTTGAGCACCATAATCCTATCACTGAGTCCATGTGGATGTTTGTGCCCAATTTAAAGAAAATCTCTTGCGGTTCATGAGAATGGAACGGACAGACGGATGGGCAGCCTGTAAACGTAATGCCTCTGGCCACGCCTCTCTCTGGCGTGGAGGCATAAACAAATGCTGACCATAGGAAAAACCTCTTCGGTGGACACAGCCCCCAAGAGAGTAACTGGCTCAGTTTTAAATACGTAATGTCAATTTAAACGTGAGCAAAACTTGGAAATGAAACGTGACTCTCGTATCGATTAAAGAAAAACTGGAGGCTGAATTATTATTCTCCTCTGACGACGTGTCGCGGTCAGAGTGTGGACGTGAAAGAATATAATTAATTTTCAGGCCACAAAGAGACTTCACTGTAACCGGAAGGTCGAAGGTTCAGACCTCCGTCCTGCTGACGAGCACAAGACTCCAGGAATGCTGCCGCAGCTCGAGGAATGTGTGTGTGTGCATGTGTGTGTGCAGTGCGCTGACTTGGCGGGATTGGTGTGGACCTAGCTGTCTGGAAAGCTGCCCGGATCTGGAATGTGACCCCGTGCACACACAGTATGAGGGTGTGTTAAGGTGTGTGAGAGTAAAAGAAACAGAGGCTAACTTATGATGGGATCCAAAATGAAACACACTATCTGCTGGATTAGGGCTCGGTGATGTGGACAACAATTCATATGTCGGTATTTAGAGGCTGACTGGTGATACATGATATATATCTCGGTATTTTCTACGAAACGGGCAACATGTTTTTAGCTGCAACTTAAAGCCACATTTGAGGTGTCACATGCAATTTTATAAAAACAGACTGATCAACAGTTACACCTGCAAAACACTAGTCAGCAGCAGGGTTCAAAACACACATTATACACACATTAAACATGGCTTAATAGAGACAATTTCAAACACAACTCAGCTTCACTATAACTCGCAGCATTCACAGACAAACACTTGTCTTTATCTGGACACATTTTCCCCACAAATACAACATGCTAATGATATTAGCACAAGTCTATGGCATTTTACATTGTATAAATTAGCCTCGTGGCTAGCGGAGATTTCCTCTACTCATATAAAACCAGGAACAACAGCGACATTTAACAAAGGTAACGTTACAAAAATCTGGCTCCATTACAGCTCACAAGGTTCACTGACAAAACAACTGTCTTATACTAAACACGTTTTACTAAAACATATATAGCATGCTAACGTAATTAGCACAAGCCTATGGCATTTTACATTGTGAGGTAAAACCTTAATTTGTGAATTGTGTCTTTTTTCTACGATTTCTAATCAGATTTAAGGCCTTTGCACACTTTTTCGTCATTGAAATTTTTGGAGAGCCGTGCAGAGTTTTATTAGTAAACTGTAACTTTATCATAAGAGGATGTTTTGCTGCCTCTCACAGCAGCTGGAGTCTGAGAACAAATAACTTCATTCACTGGGCCGACTGCCGGCGACTTTTAAGGTGGAACGTTAACTTGTAATGTTACTCAATGCATGAGTTGATGACGTGAATCCATCATCTTAAATTTCACTGTGACAACTTTGACCATCACTTTAGTTTGTATATGACACACACTTCTAGTAATGAGTGGATCTTCAAGTGTTTATCTTACTATGTAATGATGAAAACTCTGTATGTGTGTATGTTCCACATTTTTCTCCTCACTGACTTGGTCAATCCATGTGAAATTTGGCACAGTGGTAGAGGGTCATGGGAGGATGCCAATGAAGCAATATTACATCAATTGGCCAAAGGGGGGCGCTATAGCAACCGATTGAAATAACAAACTTTGAATGGGCATATCTCATGCCCCGTATGTCATAGAGACATGAAACTTTGCACAGAGATGCCTCTCCTCATGAGGAACACATTTGCCTCAAGAACCCATAACTTCCACTTATATAGATTTTCCACCATTTTGAATTTTTTGAAAAACACTTCAAATGGATCTCTTCCTAGGAAGTTTGAGCGATCTGCATGAAACTGGGTGAACATAATCTAGGGACCAATATCTAAAGTTCCCTCTTGGCAAAAGTTGGAAAACTTACTAAAACTGAGCTTCTATAAGGCAATGAATATTGCGGAGGGCGTGGCTCATCACATAAAGGTGTATAACATCTCAAGGGTTTCACCCATCACCACGCAACTTTGTAGGCATATGACCACACATAATCTGAGGGGACCCCTCCATTATTGACCCNGTAGGCATATGACCACACATAATCTGAGGGGACCCCTCCATTATTGACCCCATCAAACAAAATGGGGGCGCTAGAGAGCTCATTTCTTATCTAGGCCTAACCGCCATATGGATTTTTACTAAACTTGGTAGATATGTAGAACAGGACGCCTCAAGGTGACTGGAGAAATTTAACTCTAATTGGCAACTGGGTGGCGCTATAACAACAGAAAAATGCTTCAAAATGGCTAAAATGCGACCGATCGCTGTGGCTCCCCCTGTGGACCAATGTTTTGTTTTTTTCTAATTGTTGGCATGACTAAGTCATGGTATGGTATGCTGTACATAATCACTGAAACTGTCAGTGTGTCATTCTGTCTGTCCCACGTTTTTCTACTCACTGACGTGGTCAGTCTATGTGAAACTGCACATAGGCATTGAGGATTGGCATAGGTAGAAGGTGACAAAGCTACCAATGGGTATGGACTAGTATATGTTATTTTAGACTGAGTTATATGAACTCCATATATTCTAATCCTCACTCTGAGAAAAAAAAAGCATTGTGGAGTGTTGTTCCTGTGGGCTACAGCAACACTAAACCCCTGAGCTTGCCTGAGAAGGACTAAATGCACAAAGCTGCTATTTTTAAATATCCCATGGAGAGAGACTCTCACTGCAGCCTGTTCCATTTTGTTCTGAAAATGTCGGCGTGCAGCCTCGTTCTGTGGACGATAAACCAGGTGCAGACTTCCACCTGTGTCACCGCTTTTGAGGAAATACAGTGAGTGGTGGACGGAGCAGTGAGTGACAACAACCCCGCCCACATTTAAGAGGACTATTTGTGGTGGAAACACTAAACAGACCGAGGGTCTAGGTACCATGTCTGAAGGGTTACTGTTGGTTCTAAAGGCACCATACTGAAAGTGTTCGGTGGAAACAAGGCGAAACATTGATGCAACAGGTTTAATAATCTGATCATGTCAGACATAGTAACAGACAGTTCACAGCACAATGAATACCTTTACTGAAATATTGTGAGTTTAGTTAGCTGTTAATAGCTCTGCCCTTTGACCCCGACAGGATGTTGAATGCACGACTTCTACACTGTTGTACTGGTACCTGTAAAAGTTCAGAGTACTTCTTCCACCACTGCTATGAGAAATTAAATGTGCGTGTCCACATACCGGACATACCACTGCAGCTCTAATGTGCTTCTGTTCACACCGGTCATCTGATGCCAGAGCATGTGTGTGTGTGTGTGTGTGTGTGTGTGTGTGTGTTTAATCCTCTATATGTGTAGTAATCTAGAAAAAAATGCTCTTAGATTACAGAGCATGTCTCACCAGATTAGTGCCCCAGTTTTTCCAATCTGTCTGACTGTCCGACACACACACACACACACACACACACACACACACACACTTGAACATCACCAAATCTGAGCTTCAATAATCAGCTTTGATTTTAATAACAGCGCTGCCTCTAGTGGTCACAGAGAGCACTACACGTTCACTACTCATCAGGTGTCCCAGCATGAGGAGGGTGTGGTAATGGTTCTGTACCAGTATGGCTGTGTGTGTGTGTGTGTTAAGCTAACAGTTCCCATGGGAGGAGACTTCATATCCCATGATCCCGATGGAGGAATCTGAGGAATGTTGACTGCTGCACATTCCTGCACACACACCTACTGTCTGTGAGTGTGTACTTGTACGTTACTGAAGTATTTCCACTTAACACAACATTATAATTTACTCCACTACATCTCAGTGGACAATATCAACTGGAAACAAAAATGGATCAAATTCTTTCTGACCCCAGAAAACACAGTGTGCAGCACAGTTGGTAAATTTACAGTTGGCTCTGTCTCATTAACTAACTTCTGTTAAATGTATTTACCATTAACTCATCTATATAAAAGCAATAAGGTGGAGGGGAAATGAAGTCAAAGAATATAACAAAATAAAACTATAAATGACTCATTATTTGGGAAAATAAACATTAAATTGTCTTTAAAATGCAGTATTTTTTTCAAACTTAAAAGTAAGAGGAGAACACACACTTTGTCACACACACACACACACACACACACACACACACACAGCAGCTGGTGTTCCCCTTGTTTATAAAGACGACAAAACAGGAGACACAATGGCACCTGAACGCCACACACACAAAGACGCTGACATCATCGACTGGTACCTGAATGCCACAAACACACAGGTCGCACAGAGCCAGGTGTCGCGTCTTCATCTGTGTTATAAAAAGAAGTCTGCTGTGTCGTTCATAGAGTGTGTAACGTCGCCACCTGCTGGCTGAACCCGCACATTGACACTGCTTAACTTTCACTGTTGTTTTACCGTGATGTTTGAGCTTCACTGTGCTGCGCTGGTGTCGTTTACTGAGGACATGTGACATGTGAGTGTGTTCGGAGCCAATCATTGGTCCAATCCAGCTCACTCAAGTGTGATGTGGAACGTTGTCTCTGACAGTTGCTGTTGCACTACTCTTTATATGTCTTCGTATACAACAGTGGTTGTAAAAGCTTGAATTTGTAATCGAGTAAAAGTACTCAGTTATGTTCCTTCACTGTTAAATCCCAACTGAGCTCTTGTTGAAACAGACTTGAGGAACAGTCCTACCTGACTCTGCAGGTGAAGCGATGGTGACGTCATTTCTGCCTTCTCCTCCTCCTCCTCTTCCTCCTCTCTTTCATCGCAGTTTGCCTCCTCCTCATCCTTCTCCTCCTCTTTCACTGCTTCTGTCTCTCCTTCCTTCATTACGTCTCCTCCGTCCTCTGTCCGTGTGATCTGATTGGTCGTCTCCGTGCCAAAAGGCTCGGACGGACAGGACTCATCCTCGATGGTGACTATGGCGACTCTGACCTCGTCTTCCTCCCCGTCCTCGCCTCCTCCTCTGCCTCCTCTTCCTCGGCACACAGAGGAGGTGAGGAAAGGAAAGGAGGTGAGGGAGGAGGAGGCAGAGATCGGAGTGTGTCCACCAATCTCTTTGTCTTTGGCACCTGCCTTCATCATCATCTCCTCCTCCTCCTCCTCCTCGTCTACCTCCTCTTCTCTCCTCCTGGGTGGGGTTTTTAGTATTCTGTCCTTCTCTCCCAGCCCACTTGTCCTCTCTTCCTCCGCCTCCTCCTCTTCCTCCTCTCTCCTTTCTTGGTGTTCTCTGTCCATCTTTGGTTTCGTCACACAGCAGCAGGAGAGAGAAGCATCCTGAAAAAGACACAAAGAGAAACATCAGGACATTAATTACAATAATTGTGACTAGAATTACCACCCAGAGGTGTACGCCTCCACACACCAATCAAATATCTCTGACAGTTTACACCATGTCAGTGAAAACATGAGGAAAAGATCAGTGTCACCAACTCAGTCTCTGACCAAATGTCTCCCCTTCTGTTCCTGAGATATGACGTTTAATAATGACCAGAGAAGTGTTTTATGCAGAATATGATGATGTCACAGTGAAGTTGACCTTTGACCTTTTGGATATATTCTGGATATCAACCAGTGTTTAAGATTCAGGGGGATTTAAACCCATTTCCAAACACTTTCATGCGGACACACCAAACTGACATCAAAGAACTAGCGGTGACGAAAGCCAACTGCTGCGTCGTCTACGTTGCCTCACGTCGCCCTGTGTCAGTTGCATTTGAACTAGGGTTGGGATCCGGATCCGGTTCTTTTTTGGAACCGGGTCCAAAGTTCCGGTTCTGGAACCGGTTCCATCACATTTGGAGTAACGGTTCCTGCAAACGGTTCCTAGATTGTAAAAAAAAAAAAAAAAAAACAACGTCACGTGTATTTCCATTAGAGTGCGGCACGGGCGCATATTTCTGTCCGAACCCGACCGAGCCTGACATTATCTAATCACTAAAGCACTGAGTTTGTGTCACACAGTTGTTATGGTTACAGGCTATTTAACAGGCCGGGCGTGCGCCGTGGGTGCTCAGCTGCGGAGAGGGAGACCTCCGTGTTTGAGACGGGAGTGGGCGGCGGGAGGTCCGAGGCTTCCAGCGAGGGGAGAGGGAAAAATATAACAAAATAAGATAAAATAGGAAGACCTGTCTCCCTCTTTTATTTTATTTTTAGCGTTTAATCAAGGCGGAGGCTGGCGGCGGGAGGTCCGAGACTTCCAGTGAGGGGAAAGGAAGAAACAAACAGCCAATGTGTGTGTGTGTGTGTGTTCTGTTCAGGTGTTGTCACGTAAATAACAGTGCCCAAGCATGAATGCATATAAGTATTTTTTATTACACTGCTGTGGTTAATTTGAGGTAATTATGTTACTGTAGAAATCAGAGAATCACTTTTTGTTGTTATATATTCTCAGGGAGATGATACAAGCTCTAAATCTGAAATACACACCACACACAAATGTGTATTTTCATCTAATTGTACTGTGCAACAGTTAGAATAAAGTTTTTGTATTTGTATGATTGCATTTGTGTTTATTATATACTTGTTTAAGTATAGCAAGTATAATGGATATAATGTAGGAATCGGTAAGGAATCGGAATCGTTAAAATCCTAACGAGTCCCAACCCTAATTTCTGCGCCTGTGTGAGAGAGAGCGGCGTGAGAGAGTGATACATCCTGTCAGCCGAGGGGTTTCCTATCTGTGCAGCCGAGCACCGCAGCACCTCCACAGACTATTACATCCAGACGGTCCCGGTGTTTCCTCCTCAGGCTCCACTTCACTCAGCTGCCCGATAAACCCGCTGCTTCTTCCCACTTTAACCTGAATAACAAACCAGGGCTCGGTGCGCCGGTTGGATCCAAACGGAGAGCTGGGGCTAGCTGGGAGGCTAAAGGCCCTGACACACCAAGCCGACGGTTGGCCGTCGACCAAAGTTGGGCCGTCACACTTTAACCTGAATAACAAACCAGGTTAGCTGGGAGCATGACCGGAGGGAAGCACAGCCAGTTAGCCTCCACTAGCCTCCCAGCTAGCTCCGGCTCTCCGTTTGGATCCAACCGGAGCACCGAGCCCTGGTTTGTTATTCAGGTTAAAGTGGGAAGAAGCAGCGGGTCTGTGGGGCAGCTGAGTGAAGTGGAGCCTGAGGAGGAAGCACCGGTTAGCCCTGGTTTCAATACAGGCAGATTCACTCGCTACAGGGGCGAGGAAATAAAACCTGAACAGCCAATCAGAGTGATCTCTGTAATCGACAAGCTCCATTGCCGATTCAACATGCTTGACTAGTGCCAACGGTGCGGGACACACCGCAAAGACGAGGGCGACAGACGCTCACCGACGGCCGATGGTGTGTCAGCACCTTAAGTCTCCGGCAGTCGGCCCAGTGAATGAATTTACTTTTTCTCAGACTCCAGCTGCTGTGAGAGGCAGCAAAACATCCTTTCATTTTATAGTTACAGTTGACTGCAGTGTTCACAGCTCCACCTTTCAGTACCAGATCTGTGTGCTCGGTACCCCAACAGAGGGGGGACCAAACATGGGGACGGTTCCATTGGGACCATCCTCAACTTTTCACAGTGGAAACAGAAACAAACTGAACCGTACTGCTCGGTGCAAACCGGGCTGTAGAGGCCTGTAGCTGCAGACTGAGACCATCTGAAACTTCTCCCAGTCAGAGTTGTTGAGGAGGTTTTAACCGGGAGCTGACGAGGACCTGCTCCCTGTGTGGATATACACGGCTCACTCTGAGGTAACAAAACACAGCGATTCATATTTTCAGGTGCTCAAACACTGAAGGAAACAGACTCATTATATTATATTCCATGACAGCATGTCCTTGTCCAGTGCTGTAAACATCTTACAGTGCTTCAGTAACTCACATCCTGTGTGGAAATACAACTCTGGGTGTTTTCACTTCAGTTTTATGTTGCTTCATACTTCCCTACTAACGTTACATCTCAGAAGTTAATGCTGTTCTTCACAGACACATGAATGCAGCAGGAACATTTACTTCACAGCTAAACTTTACTGAAACACCTTTAACAGACTTCAGTAATGTTAGTTTAGAGATAAAGTTGTAAAATAAACCAGACTGACCTTTAATAAACGCAGAGTTCTCTCCTCCGGACTTTAAATTTTAAACGCCGGGATTTCTTCTTCTTCTTCTCCTGCTTTATTCCTCGTCTTTTCTTCTTCTGTGAATATTTCAGCTCAATATCCAACCCGTCATCTCCAAGTTAAACTTCTCCGCTGCAGGTTTGTGTTTTCATTCAGAGACTTGTTTTTCTGTCACAAACTAAAAACACACCAAACTCTTCTCTGCGCTGCTTCGCCCCGCTTGCACATGGAGCTTTGTTTGGCGCCGTTTGATGACGTCACGAATCTGGTCACGCGCACCTCAGTGTTTTTTTTCCCCAACAAAAAAAATGTGTTTTTATTTTATTTAATTTATTCAATCTTTATTATTAACTCAGACAAAATAATCATCAACTTTTAGTCACAATACAAAAATCTAATAAAAAAAATTCACTATACTTCCTCTACTGTATTATTACTGTCATTATTATTATTACTATTAATAATAATAATAATAATAATAATAATAGTACATTTAATTTGTATCATTATTATTATTATTATTATTATTATTATTATTATTATTATTATTATTATTCTTGTTATTATTATTGATAAACAATTTGTTTTTATTATTTCTTAAAATAATGATCAACATATAGTCCCAACCATACTTCACTATACGTCATTATACTTACTACTTATTACAAGCCTCTACCATAATATTATTACTATTAATATATATTTTACCATTATGGGGTCCTTTCACTCTGTTTTACTCTAGTTACTGTTTTAATGGATTTGAAATGTACTCTATTACATTTTTATTGTCTCAGTGCTTAATTGTTATTATTATTATAATAATAATTATTATTATCATTATTATTGTTCTTATTATTATTATTGATTTATTTATTTTTAATCTATTTTTTAATTGTCATTATTAACTTCTTAATTAAAAATTAAATAATTATTAACTTTCAGTCACAATACTTTTGGCCAGTAAAATTCTTCTTCCTTCTTCCTTCTGTCTTTCTTATTCTTATTATTCGCATTTAAAACAATAATGATATAGTAGAGGCATAGTTTTGAATCAAAAAGCAAGTCTAGTGAAAAAATTTGATAATTATTTAGTCTGAGATAATAATTAAAATAAAAATGATAAAATAAATCAATAATAATAATAGAGAAACAATAGAAATTTAATACAATAGATTTAAATACTATTCAAACAGTGATAAGACTAACAGAGTAATATAAAATTAAAGAACCACATAAAATATAGACCAATAACTATAATAATAATAATAATAATAATAATTATAATAATAAAAAACATAGTCCAAACAAAAAAAAACAATAAGAGAGACAGACATAATCATATAATAATACTAAAGCAGTGTCAGGCTCAGAACAAAAAACAATCACTCAATGCTTCTTTGATTTTTATTTTTTTTATTAATTAAAAAACACCTAAATTCCCAAAATACAGAAAACTTGGTTCACAAGTCACATTTAAAAAACAAGGAAATAAAATAGAGCGGAGACACAGTCTCAGTGCTGTCAGTATAAATATGAGATAAATAGATATAAAGCTTTCACTCATGTCACGTCTACATTCACTGAAGGTGCATTTGGTGGGTCAGAGGTCATCAAACTTCTCATTGGTCCATGCTGGTGGACGGGAGCTCAGTTGATCAGGCTGTGGTGAGTTTTCGGTTTCCTGTATATGACAATAAAACAAGCAGGACGCACGTTAGACACGTCACAACACTGACAGATTATCACTCAGAGGATGAGGATGGGATTCATGCACTCACACGATGGAGGCCAGGAGTTTCTGCACAGCGTTCAGCTTGGGGTTCAGGCAGTAAGGAAAGCCGTTTTTGTTGGTGACCCTGTTGAAACGGACGGTGGAGGTGAGGTCAGACATTAAATGTAAACTGTTAGATAAATACGTCAGGCAGGACTGAAGTTGACTGTTATGAACTGAGGCGGAACCAGTGGCGTGAGGAAGTTATAACGGGCCCTAATTCACGCTGTCGTGCATCTTGACACAACCAAAGACTTGACACTGGACAACATCAGCAGACACATTACCCAGCAATCATCGCTGCAAATCTGACAAAAATATCAAAGAGTGTAAGAAATGAACCATTTAATTGAATAGTTTGTGAAGTATAGCAGTTTTTAGATCAAGCAATCGTTTACCCTAAAATGAAAATAGCGTTGCAGCCAGATCCAGTGCGACTGAAGTGAACGGTGACCAGTTTTAAAATGTCAAAAAAGAACACAAAAAACCCACAAAATGTCTCTGTGCTGCTCGTGTGGTGTAATCCAAGTGTCCGTAAGCCACGACATTGAAACTTGACCTGAAAAGACACCATTTACGCAACGTTTTTAGCCTAAATGTCAACTGTAGCCTCTCAGACCAGAGCAATGGCGCTAGATGGGATCAACGAGATCTCTCTCTCTGTTGTGTGAGTCGCTTCCTGGTAGCGTGTGAACACAGGTGTGCAGGTATTGTGAGATCTCGTTGATGCCATGTCGCACCGGTATTTGTGTACCTCACGAACATGCGGGCAGCTTTGGTCTGAGAGGCTACAGTCGACATTCAGGCTAAAAACGGCGTCTTTTCAGGTCAAATTTGAATGTGGCGGCTAATGGACACCACACGAGCAGTATGGAGACTTTTTTTTTGTTTTGTTTTTTTTTACACTTAAATACTGGTAATACATGAGCACAAAAATATCTTATTATCAAATCTCTTTTTGTATTTATTTCAAATCAAATTTATTTATTTATTTGGGTCTCCATTAGCCACCACGAGGTGACAACTCTCTCTTCCTGGGGTCAGTACAAGGGAACACAATGTGAAACAAACATTTTAATTAAAAATCCAAAAAGGGAACAAGAACGTGCAAAATACAAAACCAAAGACAGAAAAATAAGTCAGCAACCATCAACACTGGCATTAATTAAAGATGTCTTACACAATCTCCACTCTGTTGCAGAAGATGGTCGCTTGGTAGATCTTGACTTCCTTTATGTCAGACATCGATCTGATTCTGTTCCTGACGCGTTCACACAGACACCTTCCTGACTGGCGGTCCACTGTACGGAGAAAGACAAGGGACAAAAAAAAACATTTAATAAGAATTCTTCCACCAAAACATGTATAAATGTAGCCTATAAAATGACAAACAGCTTCTTCTTTCCCAACTTTGATCGTTTCTGATCCACTCATGAGCCCATCGTACGTCAAAATGTCCCTGAGGCCTAAATGAAAATAAACTACCTGTAGCTAATAAAACATCAGATTAAAATATGAGCTAATTTGTGTTCTGTAACATGTTGTACATGTGTTATAATAATCATATAAATCAATAAAAAAACATTACAAATTAACTTGTTCAGAGGAATAAATAATAAAATATTAGTGTAAAATAATAATAACATTTACAACGTAATTTCTTTCCTTTTTTTGTCCCAGGGAAACACAGGAATCCACACAATAAAAAATAAGAAAATTAAGTTTTAAAGTCATTCAGTCCTACATTACACTAACTTTAAATACGCACAAATTCAATAATACACATTCATGAAACGACCTTTAACGACCTTCTTTCACATGAAAAACAGCCTTTTTATTATTTGCTACTATTTTTTTATTTACTATTTTACAAGTGTCTCACCCAAAGCTACAATTTACAAGGTAACATTGAACACATCATGAGAATATTAGAATTTACGTTCACCTGATATAATGTTTTACTGAATAGAGCTTGAACGGGTCACAATGCAAATCAATGCAACCTCAACGAGCTGCTTAGAGGTAATGATAACTAGCTGCTAACTGCTAACAGCTAACAGCTAACTTAAGGAGCTCTCCTCCTGCTGATGTCATGTTCCTTCTCTCCACATCCACTCCTCTCAGTAGTGCTGTGATAATTGAGTGAGCATCAGAGCACTTTTCCTTTGGGTGTTCCCGTGACGTCAGATAACTCCGCCCATCTCCCCCAGAGAGCAGGTGAAGTGCAACAATCTGGGGAGGGGGGCTGGGGGCCCAAAATATGCCTCACTGTTATTTAGTAGGCTTTGCTCTGGAGTTATGTTGTTGTGACATTATGTCATATTTCAAAATAGCTCAAAATGACTCAAAAATAAACAGATTCCCCCATCTGTGGCGTCCCCTGTGGCTGACGGAGCCCTTAGCATTCACCTAGGCTGCCTATGCCACGGCCGGCACTGCCCGTAGGTTTAGTTTTAGTGTATCCTCTCTGTGTATATATTTAAAGAATAGTATCCTTTAATTTAATTTAATCGAATTTGATTTAATTTAATTTGATTAAATCGAATTTAATTTGATTAAATCGAATTTAATTTAATTTGATTTAATTCAATTCACTTTAATTTCATTTAATGTAATTTAATTTAACTTAATTTAATTTGATTAAATCTAATTTAATTGAATTTTTTTTGTTTGTTTTGGTTTTTGTTCTCTGCCTCTTATGTTTTTGGATAAGTCATCTGTTGATAAAAACAAATCTTTGATAAAACAAACAAAGTACGGAATGAGCCCCACATTGTCTCTGTCAGAGTCACTAATACTGAATAAACACTCACTCTGAGCTGTAGAGATGCAGATGATGACAGCCAGGAGCAGAAACACCTTCATGATGTGGGACATGTTTGGTTTCCTCTGTGGTCGAGACGACGCTGCGGTGCGGGAGAAGAATCTTCCTCTGGTGAAGGTGATAGCAGGAGGACTGTGAGGCTAGGAGCCTGACGGTCAGCTTAAAAACTCTCATCAGACACTGACCTCATCGCACTTCCTGTCATCAGGGAAATTTTTCAGACTGGAAAGTGAAACCGCAAACAAACCGCAAACAAAAGGAAACCAGACTGGTTCTGCAGCCTTTCACTGTGGCTACATCACTAACAGCTCTGCCAGAGAAAGATTTTAAAAGTACATTTGAATATTACATATGAGAATAAGAGGATAAAAACAGTGGTGCAACTAAACTTGTACTCACACCGTTTTGTTTGTTATATGTTCTATAAACCCTCGGTTTGCAAAATTAAGGTGACACAAAGATGAGTTCAGGGCTTGTAGGTGACATTAGTTTTCCTGTTTATACGTACATATGTTTCATACAATAATCTAAAACTACAAGTATAAACTGTGTTGTCCTCTCAAAGTTCTATTAACAGTGTGGTGGTACAAAACCAACACCAGAACAGAGCAGTCAGAACTTTACAACGATCAGATTGTTACAAACAAACCAGCACTTTATTGAGATACTTCAAATATTTATGATGAAGTTATGATCTTAAAACTGCTCTGATAATGTACAAAATCATTTACTGAACTGTGTTCAGAGGTTGTTTGACATCAGACAGAGCCAGGATCATTACTGTGTGTGAAGCATCTGGAACTTTGTTTTTGTTTCCGTCTTGTTTTCTGTTTTTGTCCTTGTGTAAACAAAGTTTTGAAACCCCGTTTCGAGAAGGTTGCCGTATAGCACATGAGAATATTCTGTATAATAAGCTTCAGCTTCAGCTTCAGCCCACTGCTTTTCAGTCATTTCTTTCTGTCACTTATTTTTATTTATTCCCTTTTATTTGCATTCTTTTTGGAAAATTGTTAATATACACAACAATGAATACATTCAGATAAATATATATATGTATATATATATTTACATACGATCAGCATTAACGCGTTCATTGCAATGCAATCAAGGTCCAAATATAAATAGCTCGGAACTTGGCTTTAGTGCCAGAGCATTGCCGGTTCAAGTCCCCGTACGGACACAGTACGGACCGTGGACTTTAAATATGGGTGTGGAAATTACACAAATCAGCTTCACTATAACTCGCAGCATTCACAGACAAACACTTGTCTTTATCTGGACACATTTTCCTCACAAATACAACATGCTAATGTTAGTAGCACGATATGGCATTTTACATTGTAAAAATTAGCCTAGCAGCTAGCAGACTTTTCCTCTACTCATATGAAGCCAGGGACAACAGCAACATTTAACAAAGGTAACGTTACAAAATTCAGCTCCTTTACAACTCACAAGGTTCACTGACAAAACAACTGTCTTATACTAAACACGTTTTCCAAGCAAATACAACATGCTAACGTTATTAGCACAAGCCTATGGCATTTTACATTGTATAAATTAGCCTAGAGATGAGCATAGATTTCCTCTGCTCATATGAAACCAGGATAAATAACACACAAGACTTAAAATGCTATTTTTGTGGAGGCTTTATTGTCTTCACAATTTATTGTTTTTTATCTGTGAAGTTAAAGGAAATAACAGTTTCGTTTCCACTGAGGGAAATGGTTTCAGCTTACAGAGACAGACAGGAGGTCTGCGGCACCACGACGTGTAGTTACATTTTTGTGGAGGTGCACATCAGGCTACGCTGTAGATACAGCCTCGACTTGACACAGAAGTATAAATCCCATGTCACACTGTAAACTAAAAATGACAATAAGCATAAACACCGACAAAAAGAGGCATTTGCATTTTGGATTTTGGAACATCTAAACTTAACTGTTAACTACATACCACTCCAACTCAAAACTTCAAGTCTGAGCTGCCACCCACGAGCTTTATATTTGGTAACAAAACACTGATGTTCTGTTGATCTTTACAAGATCCCACTAAAGTCTTCACGTTTATTTGTACGTTATGTGTCTTTAACAATAAGCAGGACGCTGAACCAGATCCTGCTTAAGGCCCCTCAGAGGTCTAAGGTCGGCCCTCCACTGTCATGACATTTGAAGAGTGAATATGTCTCAGCATTAGATTCTGATCTTCATTTCCTTGTTATATTCTGTAGCTGTCAGACAGATGTACGAGTCATCTTCCTAAGGTCATGGGTTTGAAGGAAATGTTGGTTTTAATAGAAAGTGTGTTCTGATGTTAGCTTCAGGTTTACTTCCCCTTTCAGTGTTTCAAAGTGGAGTCACATCACAACGTGTTTTTCACTCTCTATTTTTGATGTTCTTCTCTTTTCCTCTGTATTTTAGCCACAAGGATGGAAAAACAATCCCTACTTTTCTGTAACGTGTACTGCCGGCTGCCGGAGAGCTGATGACTGTTTAGACAGAACGATAAATGATGCTAAAGGTTCAGAAGGTGTCTAAGAATGCTTTAAAAGCAGGTTTCTGCCCGGGGGAAGTCACTCATCTCCAAAATGTCAGCTTTCAGAAACAGGCAGGTTTTACAGGGTCGGTTCACCAAACTGCAAAATGATGTCATATTTTCTCTAGCCACGCAGTAAGTTTTGGTTTTACCTGCCCAGATTTTGAGATCTCCTTGAGGGGTTAATGCAGAAGTGTCAGAGGTTCCCATCCATCCATTTTCAACTGCTTATCCAAAGCCAGACGTCCCTCTCTCCAGCAACACTTTCCAGCTCCTCCTGGAGGACCCCCAAGGTGTTCCCAGGCGAGATGAGATATGTAATCCCTCCAGCGTGTTCTGGGTCTGCCCAGGGGCCTCCTACCAGTGGGACGTACCCAGAACACCTCCAGCTGGAGGCGCCCAGGAGGATCCTGATCAGATGCCCGGAACACCTAAACTGACCCCTTTCAAAGCGAGGGAGCAGCGGCTCTACTCCGAGCTCCTCACCCTGTCTCTAAGGCTGAGCCCAGCCACCCCACGGAGGAAACTCATTTCGGCTACTTGTATCTACGATCTCATTATTTCAGTCACTACCCAGAGTTCATGACCATAGGTGAGGGTTGGGGCGTCGATGGACCAGCATTCTCAGAACCCATTGGCTGTATTAGGCGTCTGACTTCCAGCAGACGGCGATACAGCCTCTGGGGGCAGACCCCCGATTTTTTGGCATTCCGGTTTGATTTGGGTGGAGGAGGCGAACTTCCGTTTCTGACTTCCGTTTATATATAAGTAAATATGCTGAACCATTGCGATGGATTCAGAGTTTGCAGTGACGCCAATTATGTTCCACCTTGTTGATTCACCACACGGACCATTTAACCTGGCAACAACTGCAGCCGGCTCAAACGTGATTGGTCAATATCACGTGGACTACAAACAGCCTACAACCGGAAACCAGGGCTCTTCCGCTCTTATTCTGGAGGCAAGATCTCCGGGGTTTGCCTACAGATTCTACATTCACTGAATGTAGAATCTAGAGACGAATGGACCAGTAAATCAAAAGCTTCACCTTCCACCTCAGCTCCCTCTTCACCACGACGGTTCGGATCACCGCAGACGCCACGCCAAACCGCAGATCCATCTCACGCTCCATTCTACCCTCACTCGTGAACAAGACCCCGAGATACTTGAACTCCCTGGCTTGAGGCAGTGACATCCCTCCCAACCTGGAGAGGGCAAACCACCGGTTTCCGACAAGAGAACCATGGCCTCAGGTTTGGAGGCGCTGACTCTCATCCCGAGGGTGCATGTGTCACAAAATATACTCGTTGGAGTTGAGCCAGGCCTGCGCAGATTTGATCACAAGCAATCGCCACTCAATGCATGCCGGCTAGTTTTGTGTCCGACTTCATCCTGACTTGCTCTGACGTATTACAAAAGTGGACAGCGATAATCCTGCAAGAGCGAGGTTGCTGAACATAAATCACAGACTGTCTGTAAAACATAAAACAACTGGAGACTGAGAACAAACTAATATACGAGTCTGATTATATTCTAATAAATCACCATCATATCTGACAGGATGTGAGTGTTTCTGTGACTTCCTGTACAGACTGAAGGCCGCCTGATCTCATCCACTCTCCAGACGGGCGCAGTTCATCTCCAACGAGCTTACTGAATATCTTAAAACCCAGGCAAGTAAAAGGAGAACTCTCTGCACAGCTGGAAACCCCTCTGAGGTTAAGAGTGAAAATACACTACTTCCTGATCTGGGTGAACTGATCCTTTAATCATGGTGACAGTGCATTTTAAAGTGTGTTTCTTCATGGGAGCAAATAATCTTACAGTTTATCTTCAACATGATCATAGATGTTTGGACTTTAAAATCGGTTTATAGTAAAAACGTATTCTTTCCTAACCCTGGAAACAGGAAGTGAGTTCTGCAGAAACCTTTCAAAGTGACGCTGTGCTAATTTAAGACTCGGGATCTTCCTTGACTCACAGAGCAGTCAGAGGGAGTTTTATACGGAAGCCGAGGACGGTTGTGCTCGCATCCTTTTTTTTTTTCGTGCTTGTCATCATTTCCTTATTTCCTGATAACAAAGGTCATCTTCTCGTGATAACGGGTTCATTTGTGTTGATTCTCTGGAAACTTTTTTATTTTTGTTTTGAGATGTGACACAAGATCATTGACAGATATAAAACTGAAGTATGAAGACCAGAGTGTACATGAAATGTGTTTGGGATTTTTCGGCAGACAATGTAATGTTTATACTTAGTGTCTGTCAGTTTCTTATTGCTCTGTATTATGTAAAAGGAACTGATAAAAATAATGAATGTTAAAAGGGTAGTTTAAATAAGCTACGGCTTCAGTTTACACCTTTTTGGTCCTTTTTTTTATTTTATTTTAATCTTTAGCTCGTTAATGCTAAAAAAAAAAG